TTTATTAGCTTGTGTATTTTCTATATTTTCAGTGTGTCGTTGAAATTAAATGGTGAGGAAATACTGTTGTTTATCTATATTACTTACTGTATAAGTTCTTTTTCTTCAATTTGTGCACATCTAATTGCATGGCATTTGGTACTCAATATTAATGAATTGCATTGTTTTATTTCGTACTCTTGTTCCTGCTTTAATTCATATGCTCTATTCAGAAGATAGTTGGTCTTTTTGTTCGCTTCATCGTCCAACTGTTAAAAACAAAATTTTTTTAGCAAGGATTATTATGAGGCACAGAGAAATTAAATTCTAGATACAAGTAATTACAATGTACAATACTGATTGTGATAATACTTATCAAGTATATAACATAAATACGAAATATAAAAAAATAAATATTTAATAATAAAATATGCAAAATAATAATTCCGTTTAAAAATTAAAATCGTTTTTCTTGATATTTTGTGATTTTAAATAATTATAGTTTGTTTTATTATTTAAAATATACTGCTGACCTGAGCAAGTTTTGGTCCTTTAGTTTTTGTCAACATGTTAAATTTTTGTAATTGTTCTTTTCTGGTTTCGCTTTCAGCCTTAAGCCGTTCTTCGTTGGCAATATGCTGTAGAATAGCCTTTTGCCGTTCTTCCGCAGTTACCACCACAGAAGCATTTTTTAACCGCCCGTATGTGTTTTTGTCTAACACTCGTTTGCCCGGTAAAGATTGAATCGATTTACCTAATTTGTCTAGCTTGCATATACGCTCTTGTAATTTATACTGGTCCAAGTCATTGCGCAGTTGATGTTTGGAACTTTCATCGGTTATCATAGATTTCGAATTTTTTTTATCATCCTTGCGTCCTTTTAAGAACACTTCACATGGTTTTTTATATTGTTTTTGTATTTTTAACTTTTTTGATGAACTTAATTTCACACCATTATTGGAGAATTTTGTACTCATTTTTGCAATGCTCGTTGAAAATAATTATTTATATAATATATATTATATATGTTTATAAATTGTACGTTGATATTACTAGAATGTTAATAATACATCACGGTTTTCAAAGTAATCTATGATAATTTATGATATTATATCTTAAAGGTAGATATATTTCCCGGAAACTTTTCATAAAAATATAAATTATATGTTTGTTTAATTGGTCACTATGAGTGTATTTCGAGAAGTATTAACATTTTAACCTAACTTAAATATTTCTACATAATAAATGATTGCATATATATTATATTTTAACTGAAAATTTAGAATAAAGATAGAAATACCAGCTTGGAGTATTACAGATGGTAAGATAAAATAGTCATGATTATATTTTAGACTTATCAGATGTACAGAATAGAGTATAATATATGCAAATATAATATTCATGTTATTTACATAACTCACCACATAAAGCAATCGTTGAGTCAACAACTCCAAAAAAACATCAGGGGTAAAAATAATCTGTAAATTGTGAATGGGTTTCAAGTTTTAAACTTTTAACTACCTATTAAGAACTACATTTATCTATTATTACAGTTAAAAATAAATTTTCCAAGAATAGAACAAAATAAACAGTATTATATACACGTCTGGCCAAATTTAGAAATTATTTTTTCTGAAAAATTATCACAGCAGCTTTTTTGTTTATAAAATAAATAACTATGATTTTAGTAATAGTGGCCAAACATAAAATATATAGTCCATAATCTATTAGAAAGTGATAAATCTATTTACTTTTTTAAATCGTTTGATTTATGCTAAATAGTTGTTAGTAATGAATTAATATTTTTTTTATTGATTAAATTATATTAGCTCAATCGACACTTGCATTTTTATCAAGTGTAAAATGTTATTTGTTTTTACTCAATGCAGTGATACTATTAATATAAATCACCAGTCATATTTTCAACATAAGGTGTTAACTAGCTGTTATTTTAAGGAAACTTAAGAGTTCATACTTAGATACAGAACTAAAATAATTGTCTCTTCTAGTTTATCCAAAACTTTCCTACATTCCATTTTAACAACCGAAAAGTAACAAAAACAAGAGATTGAAATAGATGTGTGACATGTGACTTTTATGGCTTTATGGGTTAATAAAAAATAAATATTATTTTCATCACAAATTAAAAAAAGGTACCATTTGCGATAAATAACAGGCTAAATTATTGCTAATTAATAATTATTATTTCATCCCATATAAATGTTTGGATAACAATAAAAAGCATGAAACAAACCATTTTTCATAAATAGGAATATCAAACCAACCATTTTCATTGCTATTCTTAACAACTCGTTGGATTCAGCAATCAATCTACGTTGGGCTTATTAGTTGATCTTGTAAAGTTATACAATACTTATATAGACATTAAGTAATGAACTAATTATATTTTACTATTTGAGAAAGTACAGAACAATACAAAAATCTTAGTTTTAGAGGTACCTTTGATAATATCTGGGTGTTTTTTGCCTTATTTCACAATCATGAAATTTGTTTCATTTTAGTTCAAAATATGAATAAGTAGGAATGTATTACAATAATATATTTTAATAAATAACAATATTAAATCTACAAAGGAAAAAAAATTAACCTAATCTTCACCAGGCATATTATTAATAAACCTATGTTTCAGGCCTTATTTATCTTAGTATAATTATTTAACCAAAAATTATACATAATATTATTATCTACATTAAAGTGGAAATTCCCATTTTGTAAATTTTAAAAATCTTGCTACTAGTTTTTTACCTTATTAAAATTTAATACAGTTAGGTAGTGCTCTTCTTTATTTCTAATCTTATTTTAAGAAATGTATATTTTATTGATATTTTCATTGGTATAATTTAAAAACTACTTCTAAAAACTATCTATTAATATGTTCTTGTCATTGGTATAAATTAATTGCACTTCAAAATTATCCGTTCAATAAATATTTTTGAAAAATATAACGTACTTACCTAAATAATATTATTTATTTCAGTTGATAAATATCTAAAAAAAAACGTGCACTTACAAATCAAATAATTCACATTTTAAAAGGGAAAAACGCATTTTTATAATATTGATAAAAACAAATAAACAACAGTTATAATTGTGAATTATAAAAATATAAATATAGTTACAACATTTACCTCCATAATATTAGAATTACGATAGCGGGTGGAAGTTAAATAATTAGGTATAATATTGGGTACCGTGTTTTTCAGCAGTAGGTCATCATAACACGATTTCATTCGTTATTTATAGAGCATATATATTTTTTTAAAGTTTAGAAGTTACTTTAAAAAAGAAAAGTTTTACGTTTCTATTTTATACGTTACCTAATAAATTAATAGTATACAAATAAAAGTTATTTGATAGTAAATTGATGAATATTCAAAATATTTCAAATTTTGGTTTAGCATAATTATAATACTATAAATACAACTGTGAAAATTAAACACTAAGTTTTACGTAAAAATTGTAAATTTTGAATTTGGCAACGTTTAATAGAAATAGATATAGAATTGTGTCATATTTATAGGTTTCCATTGTTATTCAAACAACATGCGCAATCGTGTTCTCAAAAAGGTATATCATCGTATGTAGTCGGGATATCATGCGTCTGGTTCTACTTAAATATTTACCTAACTATATAAATACATTTGATTGTATTTATGTGTTTATCACTAATCATCTAGCATAATCAGTTACAAGTTTTAGTCTAAATCTAAATTATAGTGGCTAAAAAATACTAAAATATTATTACAATTATACTTTACTCTATGTTTCTGGAATAACATCATTCATAAAATATAATAAATGTTTATTTTTCGTGTATTTTAAAGTGAATTGTTGCATATTTCGAGTATTCTGTTGTCAAATAATATGTAGTGATATCAAAATCTAAGATCGGTACTATCACTAATCACTATTCTTCAATTTATTTCGTGCTTCATAATATGGTTATCCAATGCTCATCATTTAGGACATAATCCGACTATGAAATCGTGTTTTAACACTTTTAGCTATAGTTTGATATCGATTTTAGACTGATTATTTAATAGTGGGTTTGGGTAACAAACAGTAGTGAACAGTACGCGTTAGTGGTATTTGCCTTCTCCTTCCTAACGTTGTGGATGTGAAGGTATTATGTTTTAGCTTGTTTTTCCGTGTAATATTGTGTGGGTGTAAACAGGTGTCATTTACGTATAGAGCGTACCGACAAATAATAAACATATTATAATTGTTACATTACAGTATTACATTTCAATGTTTTTTTACTTAGCATCGTAAAGACTATTTTTATCATGGTCGGCTTAAGTAAAAACCAGCAATTTGTACAACTGTATTGAAACGTAAACTATTTCTGTAATATTATTATGATACGACACGCTTAATAGAACTTGCAATTAGTACGATATTATAGTATTTAGCTTTTCAAAGTATGTATTATACAGTGTCGTATAACTGTATAAGTTAAAATTTTACATTTCTGTTATTGGTGAGAATAAGTGAAAATTTGTCTCATCTTTATATTGATTATATAATTTTACATAAATCTAATGATAAGTAATTTATATAATAAATAATAAGAATAAAATATTTTTAAAATACGTTTACTAATCATTATTAACGAAAGGTCCAGTGCAATTTAAATGGTAGGTAAATCCAATTTTAAATCTATCTTAATCATAATTAAAATAAGTATAGCAAATCTGTAAAAATAATAGTAATAAACCACATTTTCAAATTATTGAAATTATCTTAGCTCTTTTAAAAAATTAACAACCTTATTTCAATACAAGATTATATTCATACAGTTTATTTATTTTTATACAATTTTAAAATATTTACATTTAATTTAAATTTTCCAACGCTTTAAATTTCGATTACAACAAATAGGTACGGAAAAAAATTTTATTTCAGTTAAATTTGTCACTCAATCGAAATTTTTTAGTCGTTTTCAAATTTAATACTTTATATTACATAAGCCTGCATGGCACATTATTAAAAATAATGATTAATACAACGTGCAACGTATAAAAATCTAAGATATTGAAAACAATTCCAATTATATATAAATCACATTATATTAAAATGATACAAACTTATATTTAAAATATTTCATGTAAAGTTTGCAGGGAACATTTTGCATTTAATTAATTTTGTTTGCTAAGATATATTTTATAAGTTTTGTTTTCAAGACGAAGAATCATTTCCTTCAATATAAGTGTGTGATGGCATCAATGGTTTGAATGCAGACGTAGATGATATTGGCAGTTGTTGTTGAGAATAATTAGTAGAGTTAGTACTAGATGATCCAGGTGAACATCCACTGTGATGATCTCTACGTTCTCTGGCCCTACGATTTTGAAACCATATTTTTATCTGTAAAAAAATGTTACAAATTATAATATTACATAACATTCCTTAGAAAATCGGTTCCTTTAGAAAAAACCCAATAAACATTTTTATATAAAATTATTGTTAAAATATTATATTTCCATAACTAGTGTTGAATTTAATAATTTAATATTTTAGTATACAAAACACTCGGCTAGTTAGACATTCGCATTACGCATCTTACCAACATACCAGCTGTTAAACAACATGCCTACTTGTCTATCAGATTGGTTCATCTACTATGTCTGCACTGGAGGTTTCCTCGTCAAATCATCCGGTACAGGGTTAAAATTTATAATTTATTTTAACATGTTTTCTGACAAACATATCAAATATTATTTGGATAATATTTGCATAAATATAAAAATGATAAAACTGTTTCAATGGTTCTAAATGTAAACTGTTTGTGTTTAAGAGGGTTCATCAAATAGAGGCATTCAATTCGAGTGCATATGTGCGCGCGCGCGCGCACGTGTGTGTGTGTGTTTAGGAGTAAAGTTTAATAATAACTAATAATGAATATTATTTGAATTTCGATTAGAAATATATAGTCTAAGCGAGTTAAACATTTTATGTTTTAACAAAACTTTATTGCATTTAATTTTTATTAACTTAAATTAAAAGTAATTAATTTAATTTAATATTAATATTAATAAATAGTAAGTTTCTTTAAATCAAATACTGGTTTCCTTTATTTATAAATAAATAAATTATAAATGAAATTAGATAATTATTAATTATACATAGTAGAAAATTAACTCTTAAATTTACTCTTGATACCATTATCAGACTTGTCCAATTAAAATAATATATTTTTGATACCACACTAGTATCTATTTTAAACTATATTTTGTCTAAATATATATTTTAAACAATTAAACTCAGTTATTGTGGGTTTCTATATCATAAAACTTAATATTTTTAACTGAATTTGAAAAAATAAGTAAATTATACCTTCAACATTTTTAACCAACAACTTTACTCAGTTCAAATATATAATTAACTCGTCCATTATCCAGTCTTATTAATGGATTTAAATTATCAGTATTTTATAAATAAAAATTCGTAATAATTATTATGAAATATTTTAAAACTAATTTTGATGGTACAAAATGTACGATCACACGGCGTTTTGAATAGGCTATACAAGTACGTGAGTATTATTCCGAGTATCTTATAATATTAGAAGCTGGATTATGAATTATTAAATTTTTTTAGTTATTCTAAGTGCATGTCAATTTCAAAATGATTTTAAAATTAAAAATATGTTATTCTTTTAGTGTATATTTTCATATTTTAGATTCTAGTAGAGATAAGGAATGTATCTATTTTAAAACAATTTTTTTTTGGGAGGGGGGAGCAGAGAATAATTCTAATTTTTATCATTGAATAGAAAATATTTAATATTATAGGTTTAATCAAAAAATAATTCTTCAATAAATTGTTTTTAATTTTAAATACTTATTTTTATCATTATATTTTCCAATTAATAAACATTTGTAAATTTTTTTTTTTACCTTAAGACAATAATATCGACTTTTGAAAAAAAGATTAAAATCTTTATTTTCAAAATAAAAATAATCTGATTCATTAATAACAATTATTTAAAATATCAAACATTTTTTTTTCTACCAATTATTTAATCTATCACAATTCATTTAAGTAAGATAAAAATATAATACGATATAATATACAATAGATATTGTAACTTCAGAGATAAATTAAGTTTATAATATTATAGTGTAATAATTATATTTAAAAGTTTCTTTTTTTAAAAATATTAAAAATAATGATGCAAACATAAATATAAAAATATAAAGTATTTTTAGTAGGTACCTGTGTAGTATTTAATGATTAGTATTATAATTTGAAAAATGTTTATCAAGATCAGCATTTCGATTTTTAATATGCATAAAACTAACTTAATTACTTTATTGAAATATAGCCTTCTAAAAACAAATAACCGGTATATCGTCTAAAATTTATAAAATAATTATATTATTAGTATTATCTATAAACTATTTATTTTTAAAAATATTTTGATTCTCTTTGAGCTATTTATGAACATTCAAAATGTTTAAAGTTTAAACTTAAACAAATTTTGTTGATTTTTTTTGATTACAAGTTAAAGAACTTTAAATTTTAATAGTATGTCCTTCACTAGTTTCTTATAAGTTATAACAATTGAAAAATTTCGTAGTGTATATTCACAATTTTTATTAGGGTTTAATTTTCAAAGATTACCTAATAAATTTCATCAAAACCGTGAACATTTTCAAACTTGCTTTTGTTTAAAAATGTATTGATTTATAATTTTTATAGTTCAGGGTTGAAAATATTATTCAATTTTTCCAAATTTTCGTTATAAGAATTTAAGAAAAAAAAGATTTAACTTAAAGCCAGAATAATTTTTTTATGAAGGTTAAAATTTCAAATTTTAAGAAATTTGTCCAAATCGGGAATGATATTGTAAACAAATAGGCTAACAGAATTTGTTTGCTATAACTCATTTTTTATCATATTGATTTATTATTAAATTCAAATTTAATACGACTATTTTAATTTACGGTGAAGTTATGCTTAACACCTATTGTGGTTTACATGTGCCTAGTTCGCCGATAACATGTTTTTTGATCATAAAACCAGTTTTTGATAGTTTTCAAAAAATGCCCAATTCATTAATAACGATAATATATGATTCTTGGCATAATAATAAAAGTATAATACTATTGTTATTAAAGAATTTATCTTTTTTATTTTACTTACTTAATTATCTTAATTTATCTTTTGGAAGGATAGCACATAACTTTAAATTGGACAGTTAACCGCCACAGGCCCAATATTTATATACATATTAAAAATAAGATTAAAAACCAATAGTAAAATTTCGAATTGGATACTTTATCTCAAAGTGGGATAAATCAAAAATTAAAATCAAACTTAAATTTTCGTAAACTCTAACTTTCGTAGATACCTTTCTATGAGTTTACGAAAATTTAAGATATTTGAAATAAAAAAATTCTTTTAAACCTTAATATCATATGTATGTATAATTTTTTTTTTAATTATGTTTTAGATTAAAATATTTACTATTTAAATTAAAATAACTCATATATATGTATATAAATAAAATGAGATGAATATAATTTAGTGATATGCCCACTTTTTAATCTATTAATTACCAGTTAGGTTATTATTTATGACTATCGTAAATTGTGAATGTTTACTCAAATTAAATTAATTTGCTTAGAGATTGAATGATTTATCATTGTTTTAAAGTTAATAAGACAGGTATTTATATAATAAATATAAATCACTTTCTTCCCAGTTACCATGTATTATATTTATGATATAATTGTTTTTTGCCGGAAACATATTTTGATTACTTTAAGTTTTAAGTACTTAAATAATATAGTTTTTTTTATACAGATACTCACTCTACTTTCTGATAGTCGCAATCTGTCAGACAATACATGTACATCGTTAGTTCCTCCTAAATATGCGCTCCGGCGGAATTCATGTTCCAATACCGTAACTTGTTGAGTGGTAAATGGTATCCTGGGATTACGTCCAGGTCTCCGTTTTTGTCTATGTTGCCCATCCTTCCTTTTTATTCCTAAACATTCGTATATTATTATAATATTGTTATAGAAAAAAAAAATAACCATATATTAATACACATATCAACATAATATATAATTATTTCATTTAATATAGTAATAGATAATAGTAAATAATACTTACAATAAACATTTTAGTTTTTATGTTTTATTATTATTCTTATTGATTTTAAATATTATAAATTATAAGCCATTTATAACTTATAACAGCTATTATATATTTATTAGGTTTGCCATTTTTCTATATTTTAATTTTTAATGAAAATTATATAATTTCTTATTTAACATGTTCTGTATACCTATAAATTGAGAATAAAAAAACTTTCATCTTATAAAAAATATTTTTATAATTTAGGAACATATTTATTGATATTTGATTCGGTAGCTTTATTTTTGTTGATTAGTGAATTTATACTGTCTATAGTTGAGTGATATGGAAAGTAAAAAAATAAAAATCAATATTATCTGGATAAGATTTTAAGTTTATAGAGGTTTGAAAAAGTTTGAAGATAAAATAACCACTATTGTTAATAAATACGTATTTTTTTATTCATAATTAAAATATTTCAAATAGTCACCTACAAATACAATACAATAAAATATACTAAGCAATATATAACTATAGTTAGGTTTGCTATTGTTTTTTTTTTTTTTTTAGCAAATTATAGAAGTTTATTTCAGGCACAATTATTAGTGAACTTAACTATAATATTAAAAATGATATAAGCAAAATAAATTGTAGTTAAATTTTATGAATTTTGACTTTTTAGAAAATAAAGAATTTGAATTTACAGAAAAATTATTAAAATTTGTTAATGTTAACAAATCAAAGATATATTTAGTATATAATAGTATATTAACTAATATACTTATTAGTTACTATTTTTTAAATTTAATATTTAATTTTACCATGTACCTTTTTTTTTAATCTATTACTAATTAATTATTTATCATTGTTAAATTATAAAAATATCCTCATATACCTATTTTTAAATATTATTAATTTAAATTGTATGCACGTTGTAATTATTATTGTTCTACGCGTATATATTTCTGTACCTTCTTACCCTTCATGAGTAAATAAATAAAAAATAAATACATTTTAAGTTGTAAACCAAAAACGATTGAAACTTACCCATTTTGAATTTAATATCTTCTTTTTTTAGTAGTTCTAGATATAAATTTAACCTTGTTTTATTTTAATATAGTTCAATATTATTTTTCTTAAAGCAATTAAAAAGGAAACAACTACTTTTATTTTGTTTAAAATACTTTATAATAGAAGAATACTTAACTGTCCATTTAATATTATGTATTTTTTCCACTGTATTTATTTTTTAGTATTTTTTATATCGTGCATTATGAGTATACGTATAAAATCATATAAATTTTTACTCACTGTCAAGTTTTGGAGGCTTGAATCGTGTACAATACAACCAGTCAAAGTGCTGTTTATTTTGTTGATCGGTATCATCTTTAGCATTCGTCTCCCCGGCTTTATTCAATATGTAATCTACGCTAAATAAAAACATGGGTTTTCTTCTTTGGTCATCATCGTTTTGTGTTTTTAAAACTTTGTCATTTTCAGGACGTTCTGAGGTGTTTAAGTTCATTGCTGTAGTTTCAGATTCTGAGATTTTTGATATAATTCGCGGTATTGGTCTATATAATAAATAAATATATTGTATTATAATAATTAAAACATCAAAATCGTATTAAATATAATAATCATATCCATTATTCAATTAGATATAATATAATTTAGCAATTAAAATTTAATTTTCGAATAAATTAATTTATTCAACAAGTTTGAACTTTGTTACGTTTTATAATTTACCAAATAATTTTCAAGGAAATTACACATATTGATATAATTTCATTGGATAAAATTAAAATAAATGTATATTAAATTATTTAAAAAAATATCCATTTTTATTTTAAATAATCATTGCTATGATTAGATATACCGCCCGAATATATAACATTAATTATAATGACAAAGAATAATTGAAATTTTTTAATTTAATTATAAAAGAGAAAACAATATACGGAAAAAAAACAACGAAGTAATTAAAACTATTTTATATTTCTGTTTCATCACAATAAATTAATATTTTCAAATATATTGGTTTTATGGAAATACTTTTTCGCAAGATTTATTATTTTTGTGAATTGTAAAAAGTCTGAACACTATACTATATTATCTTTTATTTCATATCCTAGTCATAACGGTATTACCAATAAATATTATTGTTAAATAGAGGTATTCTTGGTATTTAAATTTTGAAACAAGTTATGATAATTATACAATTCATTAAATTTACTATTTAAAATGCTCATGACTTGGTTAAAAATTACAATATAAAAAATAAAAAACTTTTCGAGGTTCCTTAATTCTAAGATAATGTTATTTCCTTTAAATTTGATAGTAAGTAAATTCTTTAATATTGATTCTAATATTAAAAGTAACAGAGTAAAACAGATTTTTTAATCATAAAATTCACAATGTTATGCGTAGGTAAGATAGTGTCAACGCAGTAAGTATATAAAACGTTTACATTTTTAAAAACGATAAACTTAAAAATTCTAAAGCTTTTAGTTTTAAATAATGTAAAATAAAATTTGTTATTAAAGAAAAGCTCTTATATTATACAGCGTATTATATTATAAAATAGTACTTATGCTTAAATGCTTTAATAATCAAAAAATTAATCAATTTATATAAAATGTTTTTTATAAAATTTAATATTTACTAATAATTAATAATTAGTACACACAATTTCACATTAAACAGTATTGTTGCTACAGACATGAATAAAAATTAGTTTGTGTGTAGCTTAGTGACTTAAAAAGGTAACTTTAAGTCGTCTTTATTAAGCACCCGCTCCGATTCGTAGTTAAATGACGTAAACCTTATTTCAATAACAATAAGTAATTATCATTAGCATCAATGGTATTTTATACATTTTTAGTGAATTTTACGATATCATTTATTTATTATTTTAATTAATCATAAAGAATTTTTGATTAAATTTAATTTTTAAATAGATAGATACAAGATGCTGTATATATGTGATTTCTAGGTTTAAAAATTAAAATGATACTTCCAAATCATTAAAAATTCAAATAATTTAACCCTAAAATTTATCTACATCATTAAGGTACTTTTTTAAGTTAATTATTTTAAATGTTTTAGATTTAACAAATGAAGTTTTGAAATTTTAAGAGCGTAAGTTATTTAATGAAACTCAAATATTTATTCAATTTATCGTCTAAAACTAATTAATATTTAATTCAACTATTAATGAAATTCATATTTTTAGAATAAATTGTAAAAACAATTTTATTTTATTTATAATATTCTTATCATCTAAATCATAAAAACAACTGTAAAATTGTTTTACTTTTTTGATACTAGGATACATGTCACATAGTAAAAACTAAAAATAAAGATAAAATATAAATAATCCTATATAATGCATATATTTTATATTCAGTAAAATATATTATTCTAATAAATCTTTAATTTACATGCATTATCTACTTGGTCGAAAATAATTTATTAATCCAAGAACATAAATGCCAAGTTGTTAAACGAAAAATAATGATTTTGAAGCGAATTTATATAATTTGCATATTATGTAATTATACTACTATCAATGTTACAAATTAGTCAAATTCTCTAACTACCATGTTCAAAAGACAATATCTATATGTCAAAGAATAATTAGGTATTTTATAAACAAATTTACACAAACAATAGATGTATAAATTAAAGAAATATTATTCTATACACTTTAATTTTCTTTTACTAAATGTTAACTATATTGTGCATTTTAAATCAAAATAATTTACCTTGCTAAGAACTAGCTCTGTTCAGGTAATTTTATTATCTATACCTATTGACTACAACTATTACTTAAGATAATATTAATAGTATAATAATTTATTATCACACTTTTTTTAAGTTGTTTAGTATATTTAATTAGATAATTAATATTTAAGTATGAACTATAAATAATAATTACTAATATTATACCTATACATAACGACATCATAGTCATTATTCATATCATAATTATTACCAGTATTACATATAACATGGTCTATTTAAAAGCTATAAATATTATAACATATACCCTATATATTAATAACTTTTATTTCTTTCATGTTTTATTTTAATAATATAAAGACACCAATTATTTGATAGTAAAGCAATTATTGTAAAATATTAATTTTTATTATATTATTAAATCACATTTTATTCCTATAAAACGTAATTAATGACAATTTCAAAGGTATCCAATCATTAACGATTTTACGGTAAAACCCAAAAGTGCAAATTGTCGATTTTTTCGATAGACCAAAAGCGCAAATTCATTTCGTGCTTTTATATCTTAGTAGTGAGATAAAAGCGCAAAAATAAATATTGTACCCGTTATACTATAAGTTTCATTTTAAAATTATTAGTTATTAAATTAAATTATTCATTTCAATTAAATATATAGTATTTTTATAATTCAAAAATAGGTATATCAACAGTGATCAAGTTTAGTTGAAGTTTAGTATTATCATACCGTATTTTATCATAACGAATTATAGTGAAGGTTGATAATCATTTAAGATAACTATACAATTTAATATACAGTATAAACTTATATCTAACATATAAAATACACTTTATTTTTATAAATTTTATTTGCACTTATGGTTTGCTAAAAATGCATTTTTTTTGCACTTATGGAATATTCTTTCTGCGCTATTGGGTTGCGTTTGGGTCATATTTGACACTTATGGGCTACAGCCTGATTTTGTTTAGATCAAAATTAAATTATTATTTCAATAATATAGTTATTCTTAGAAATATTAATGATCATTTAATTCTACTTCATGTTAAACATGAACATTACACAAGGTATTTATAATATTTTTTTTTTTTTTTTGTGTATATTATTTAGATATTATTTATAATACAGAAACATCTAATAATAGGTATAACAAATAACAAACAATAGATCAAAGTAGAATACAAAAATAAACGATAAAATAATATATTTGGAAAGCGGAGGAAGGAGTACTTTTTGAACTTATCTCATAATCTGAAAGTAGCATTTTAGCTAAATTGAAAAAGAAAATTTAATTTTCTTTTTTTTATAAAATTAAATTAGTTCATGTTGAGATATTGTATAATTGGAGCAAGACATCAGTGGATATTTATTAATAACTTATCATAATTATTAAATACAATATGTATCTTGAATAAAAAAATAATATAATATTTGACTGAGATAGCTTTGATTAAAATATTTAATACAGAGCAAAAGCATATATTATTATTGCCATATTGATTTACACTAATACAAATATGACATATTACACATTAATACATTATTGTTATAAGATTATAGTGTATATATCATCAGAGACAGATTTAAGTCGTCAATGACGACGACGATTATATTTTATTATAACTAATCTAATTGTTAATAAAATATAAATAATAAGATAATATAATACATACACTATACGTTATATTATAAGCATTTTCTTTATTAAGGTTGTTATTGTATGAATTCATCCGTCTAGAATTGAATTCTCTGTCCGCTGATAACGTATACGTGAATTATTCTGATGTATACTAGTTGGGTCCCAGATTAAAATTGTTTACCAATTATGTCCCGTATTAAAAAGCCTGCTATACTAGTGTACTAACACTTTCCTTATCATTTTTACAGACTTAGGACTGTCTAATAACATCTAGTCTTTACAGGTATAGTTAAAAATTTTTTTTTTCTAATGTTTACTATTTTATTTTCGTAATTTACAACCATCTGTCATCTAATTGTCAATAAGGTTTTTTTCTTTAATTTTTAATTAATAATTGGGTTGAAATTTATAAGATATATATTTAACAAATTCATAGAAATTAATTTTTCCCAATATTTTTTCAGTCATCTTTTCCTTTACGAAATCTTCCTTATTTATAAGGAATTCTATATTTTACAGATTTTTCTTCTTCCCTCCAGACTTCTAATTTTAATATAAACGTTGATTTAAATTATTACTACGATACGATAAATAATAGAATTATACACGGGCCCAATTCAAACACATCATTTTACACGCTCGGACCCAATTCGTGTAAAATGTAAAACTAATATTATTTTCGGACCCAACTCAGATGCAGCAAACAAATTACATCCAGATAATATGTAAGAACTATACTAATTATTACGTCCAGTCTAAACACATTATTTCCTTATCCATGTAATTCAGACTTAAGACTGTCAATAGCAATATTAAATACTAATAAGGTACGTAAAAATATTATTTTTTTCACCATTTATAACATGACTTATCAATCTTACCATTAAACTCAGGTTTTAAGAATTAAAAATAGAATAACGTACGATGGTCAATGACGCATAATCAAAACGCTAAGCTAGGTACTAACCGTATCAATTTTATTCATAAGTTTTGAATTATTGTTCGATGGATGATAATAATTAGTCATAAAACTCATATTTCATCAGATGATCGGGATGCAATTAGTATAGAATAGCCCGGTGCAATTTGTAAGTCACTTATCACAATTCTTATGAATGGAACGCAATATGTAAACAGCTGTATAAATCAATTGTATGACGTAAAGGCATTAAGTGCTGTTTACACTTGTTTCCCCCAAAAAAAGTTAATTAATAAATATTAAATTATTGTTGCGGGCTATACAATGATATTATACAAAATTATCAACATCAATTATTTATGAAAAGTTGTTAATTGTATGAATTTGACTGTAGAAATATTAAACCTATTTACCTATGTATGAAGATAAGTACTTTTGTATAACTTTATAATAATAACATATAATATATTTATTCTTATATGTACTTTAAATAAATAAAAAATAAAAAAAATTCTTAAAAAAACAAATAAAACATTTAAAAAAATAAAAATATTTTACACTTAATTTTTTTTTTTTAATTTCGACCTGTATAGTATATTTTTATAACAATTCAATTATAAATATTATATAATTACTTTTATTATTTACCGAAATTACTATTATACTTTTGAGGCTTTTTAAATAAAAATGTATTTTATAAGTTTAAACAGTACCTATAGGTAACTAATAAAATATACAGAGAAATTAAATAATATGTATTTACTGTACGTGTTTTTCGTTACAATTTTATTTTATTATACATAGTTATTCTAATTATAATTATTTATTTTTTATGCTTTATGTGAAATATTTTAACAGAAAATATAAATTATGATAAATATTATTCTGTTTTTTATATTTATAGGTACAAAAGATTTTTGGCATTCTTGATACATATTTTGCTTCGTTTACTATAATAAACCAATTAATTATCATGTCGGTAGTTATCGCAGTTATAATGACGAAACTATGTTAAAAAGGAGCGCGGGACACAAATCACCTAAGAAACTTGCTGATTTTTTTTCATTTAGACGCAACTTCCTTATTATAATTTTGAACGCAAGTACTATGGAGAGTTTTAAGCAGTATTGCATGGTATTGAGTAGTAATTGACGGAAATTAAAAAATGCCCTGTAATTTAAAAGTGAGAATTAATTTAGATCAGGGTTTTAAATGTTTAAAATTTGAAAAATTAAGATAAAACATCAAAATAATTTTGCTTACTGTTTAAATTTAAAATAAATTATAATTAAGTACAATAAATGTTTCAATTTCAAAACATAGACAATATAATTAGGTTAAATGATAAGAATCATATTTTGGAGGTGTATGCAAAATAGTATATAGGTACTGTATTAGTTAAGTATAGTATTTATATTCTACAACGCGTCAAACTTTTCGCCGAGTAAGATAGAGAATAAAGAAAATGATTTAAAAGTTTATAGTTATTAGACGAAGTCAATCAGTGCTCTTGTCACAAGACACAGTAAACGGAATGAGTGCCAAATATAAATATGCTCATCTTGGCAGTAGACAAAACAAATAACACAACGCTAAAGCAATTTTTCAAAGAAGGCAGTCGAGTTAAAGTATACTTATCATCTAAGTTGTATATTATAATATAAAAGCACTATACCTAGTTTGAAAATATGTAGTCGAATTAATATACATTCGCAATGTCAAAGGATTGACGGTGTAATCAGAGAACGACGTTATTTTAATTGATTTGGGGTTATTTTTTCTTAACAATAGCAGTCAAAGCGATACAGATAAAACAGAATAAAATCATTGTGAGATTTAGGCGAACGAGTGGAAAAGCAATGTTTGACAAACTGAAGAGAACCAAAATGGCGTATAAAATTACAAACGGAGTGGAATAAAAACAAATGAATAGAGAGAAAGAGAAAGAGAGAGAGAGAGAGAGAGAGAAAATTTCGGTTAAGATTACGCGTGAAAGCCTGCTCCGACTTACCCGTGAGTATTAGGTGACACGAAACCGGCGGGCACCGAAGTAGGTATACGGTTGACGCGCGTGTTACCGCGGTGACTGGTAGCGGCAGTTGGCGAGTCCCGCGGAGACTGTTTATCGGAGACGGTCTAGATGGCTACTGACCGCCGTCGCGGTGGTGCAGATAACACACACAAATCGGCCAAAGATAAATGCGTTACCGAAAAAAAAAAAAAGAAAGAAAAACGAGTGCACACACACGCGCACACACACGCACACACACGAATAAAATGTATACATTTTTTTTTTTCGACTATTGCTACCTACCACCACTACCGCGGTCACCGCCACCGCCGTCGCCACTTCGGTGCTCCGCGCGCCAGCGAGGGGATCGGTTCTCGTTTCGTAGAAGGGTAGCGTGGACGAGGAGGCGCATTGTACGCGCGCATTATAATACGCGTACATAATATGGTCGGCAGGCCAGGTAGGTGCGGTTTATAAACCACACGCCGCCGCCGCCGATAAATACAATATAAATAATATTATGTACTACCGTATACGCGACCGGGTTAATTAAGCGGAAATTTTCTATTAACTTGTTGCCGCATCCCCGCGCGGCGTGTGTGTGTGTCCGTGTGAGCGCGCACACACGCACACCGACCGAAACCAGTTTACGCGCGGGACGGAATAATAAGAATATTGTTATTATTATTATTACAAAAATAATAATATCTCCGCGTCCCGGAGAATTGGCCATCGATATCCGATGCGTTTTTGTTTATTTTTCAATAACCACGCTTCAGCGGCCTTCGGGTACCCGTATAATATGTATATAGATACTTGCCACACACGCGCACACACACCCGCCCGAGGAAGTTATTGGATTTTCGCGCCCGGCCGTTTCACAATAATATGTTTTATAGGTATAATATGATTTAGGGATGGGCCGATACTAGAGAACCGACACTGAATATCGGCCGATATCGGTCTTTTTCGAAACCGATACTTCCACCCACCGATACCGATAAAAAAAATCTATCCATAGCATCACAATTATTATTCAAAAGTGCACGTCATGTACAGTGAAATATCAAATACTTTTATTAACTATACAGCTTACGAGTGCTATTTGTCGTAATTCGTAGTCATTTAACTATGACATTATTATTAATTTCTATTATTTTATATTTTTAAATTTATTAACGAAAATTTATAGTGAAGTCCGTTTATTATAGCTTGAAAATATTAAAGACTCAAATAAAAATAACTATTAAATAATCATTTATTACCATTAATATTCAACGTAATTTCACTTCGCTAGGTAATTTTTGTGTTATCGGGTATCGGTTTTGTGATGTATAGGTTGGTGACATAGGCGCAACTAAACCTCTAAAATGTGGTATGCTAAAACTGTTAATATTTCAGTATTCCACAGAGCCATGGTATTTCACTAAAATAATAACAGTTAGGTATGAAAAATAAGGGGTGCTAAATTTGAACTAAGAGGCGCTCATGTATTTTTTCCAAAAATGTTGTTTCAAGATTTCCATACATTATCGGATATCGGTTTTATATCGGCAGCATGTATCGGTGTATTGGATATCGGTAATAAGTAGTATCGGTCCATCCCTAATTATTATTACCCGAGTGTTTGTCGTCACACACGCCAGTTTGTACCCTACGATCAGTGGCGCAGTTGAATTAGAAGTTTTTCTAAAATTTCTTTTTCAATAGATATACCAAAATCAATGACTCAAGTCTTTCCTGTATCATTTACTTTTTCTCTAAAATTTTCAGAGAAGGTTGGGGGGCAAGCACCCCCTCTGACCCTTTCGTAGCTACGTCATTGCATATACGATTATATGTAATAATAATAATAATAATTTATTACTATAAAGGCTTACGCGAAACAGTTGGTCCGCGCGCGCGAGTTGGCCGGAGACGTCGTCGTGTACGTTTATGTTCCTCCGCCGCCGCAGGACAAGTCACCGCGCGCGAGGACGATGGACGTCGGATACGACGAATCGCAAAAAAGTCGTGCAGAAGCGATGCCGAGGGTCCCCGCCCGTACGGGCACCAACGAGTTATTTACACTGTCATATTATTATCATCATCCGTGTCTAATCATGGTATTAAGTTTACCGAAAAACCACACCACCTATACGGGCACCCCACACCGGTTTTTATTCGTTCGTTTTTTTGTCATTATTATAATATTATTATTATTTTAATTTTAATTTTTTGTTTTCACATTACGATTAGGATAGCTATTAAAATATTCAAGATCTATAGGTTTTTTTTTGTACTTTGTTCGTAGTCGGCACGAACAAACACACATCTCAATAAGGTAGACAAAGAATAGCCGCCTGTTCATACCGAAGACTTCAACAAGCGTTATGAACGGATCAGCGGTTTTTGAAAGGAACGGCTTACTAATATTTTAATATTTATAACATTATATCGTATGTCACGTCTGAGCTACCAGATTTCTCGTAAAATTCATCGTTTCATTTTACACGACTTTTGATTATTATACCGTTGTGGCGTTGTTAGTAGGCACGAAAAAACATACGATAAATAACGTTTTCAATTCCTCTTCCGTTCAGTCAGTGAATACGTTTAATACAGTCGGAGAAGTAATGAAACGAAAACTATAAATTATTAATCCTTTCGTACTATTCCTGTACCAACGTCAAGTTCTTCTTATAACTTTTTGAATGGGCATGAGTCATAATTATTATTATGAAGCTAACCAAGTAAATTTGGAATTAATTCATAAATTATTTCTTTTTTTTTAATAATAACTAGTTATAATAATATTATTGAGTTATTTTTTCAAAACTATAATGTATTAACGTGTATATTAGTAGACAGTAGTACAATGTCAGCGTCCAATGTATGACCAAAAAGTATTATTTTATTATTATTTTAGATATAAGAGAAAAATAAAATATACATTGTTATTATAACGCAATAATATTAATTAAATTAATTTTTTTTTCTTAATTTTTCAGTAATAATAGAAGTGTCCTAAAAGACTAAGTACGAATTTCATAAAGTCGAAAAGTGTATGATTCTTTATATATGTTCAGTAACTATGTCAATAATTAATTATCACGCAATAACAATATTTAAAAATACCTAAAATGATGAAAATAAAATATAATTAAAACAATAAAAAAATTCTATACGTAGAAAAAATAAAAAATACAAATAATAGCTTATGTAATTTTATTAAAAATAAAATAATATTAGGGAATTAACAGTGTTTTAAACCTTATTATAAAAATGAAAATAGTTAAGATGTGACTTTGAAATGTTAATAATCAGTATGCTGTATGTATACTGTTTAGTTACTACAATAATTTGATATTTGTTTGATGCTATATTTTTAATATCCGAAGAATAAAGATTAGCTTTACTGTGAAGACTTATATGGAGACCCCTGGGTTATCTTAATATAAAAATATAACAAAAATGCCAATAAGCATCACATTTTGACATAACATAAGATAAGAAATATAAAATAAAAAAAAATACATACTAATAATTTTTATGTAAGTTATGTATATTATTATGTCAGTTAGATTCAGTGCAATTTTAAGGAATTCTCACTACTTATGTGACAAAAAATTATTTTCTCAAAATAAATACACTCAATTTTATATAGTATATTATGCAGTCATTAAGAAAACAGTTAACTAGTTGATAAAATATTTTCACTGGATGTCATTTGTTTCACTTATAAGTTTACTTGTTTAAAAAGTGCATAGGTTATAAATGTTTTAACTTATAATATTATTTGTTATTAATGATTTTAAAATTTAAAAACATCATATACCTAAAAATAGTACTCAGTTTTATTTATTCGTTTGTACGGCATACAGATCGGACAACTTGTATTAAATTTATTTGAATTTCCTGTTTTATATTTCGAGAGGAGTTATGAATGGGAAAACGTAATACATTTTTTCAAAAGGGGGACTATAAATTTATTATTATCATAATATAAAAAAAATATTTGAAATATTATACTTAATAAGTGCAATAACCGAAAACAGGGTCCAAATTCAAAAAAAAAATAATATAATACAAAGAAACTGTTATTATAAAAGTTGCTGAATTCATTTTACAGCTATCATGTAAATAAAAATAAAAAATTGAATAATTTGAAATTTGATGCGTGCTAAGTTAGAAAAGGTAGAGATTTTTTAGTGTGCTATGTATAAATGATATTGTAGGTTTCACAAATTTGTTTTTATATAGGTACTTGTATTTTATTTGTTTGTTTTTATTCCCATCATAATGTTTTTGATCAGAAAAGTAGACAATTTTTAGTACTTTTAAAAATTATCAAGGATTTAAAAAGGAAAAAAAAGGAAATACAATGAATGTTGAGTGTACCTCGTTATTAAATGAGTGGTTGTAATCTATGTGTTTGAATTCAATAACAAATCATTATTTTCGAAAACAGATTGTTACATCATCATAACGTTTATTCGTTACATTGATTTTGTTATTAATGTTCAATTATTAAATTATTACATAATATTTATATTATATATCAGGTATTGTTAAAATGTTAACTTTTGAGTCAATTTCAAATTACTGTAAAACGATGTGAATGGATTCGTGATATAGACAGTAGCATACAATTATTTTAATTTTTTTTAAAAGTCATTACATCTATAAAATAATATATTAATAAACAATTAAATTTCAAATCGCCAAGAAAAATATTTTTTAATCGCAATAAAATAACTAAAATCGTTGTTCTTTATTTAAATATCTAATTTTGAAAATAATTACACCATGAATAGGCAATATAAATTTTAATATTTATAAACATTAGTTAGTCCAATTAAACAGATTTCAAAAATGTTATCGACAAATATTAAAATCGAATTTTTATTATTTTTAATAAAACACAATATGTGGTTGTAGACTAGTATTTTTTTTTTCATTTATTTGTGAATATTAAATATAACGATTTCGGTATAAAAGATTTCTTGTCGTGTATTTTTTTTATTAATATTTAATACATTTAAATCTGTGAAGAGGACGACTTAAGACAGCGGTAGAGCGATCGTGTCAAAGAAGATCTGAGGCTCCAAGGAATCAAGGATGGAGAAAGACTAGCATTGGATAAATAATAGCATGGTGAGTTAAAATAGAAGCGGCAATGGGTCTAAATAGCTACAA